CTACTGCTCTTCAACAATTTTCTCTGTGGAATTTATTCTCTCTCCTGTTCTGGAATTCCAGTCACCTGTGATTTATTTCTCTTCATGGTATCCCACATAAATTTTAGGCTTTCTTTGAACTTTTTCCCTTTTTTCTCCGATTGTTCTTCTAGTTTACTAGTATTGAGATAGTTATCTTTAAGCGCACTAATTCAGGCTTCCATTGATTCAAATCTATTCCTCTGACCTTTCAATGTATTGTCTGTTTCTGAAATCTTAGACTTCATCTTCTGCATTTCTTCTTTGCAGGTTTTCTATTGCTTCAAAATGTTCATTTTTGTCTTTTTGTTCTTGCAGTGTTCTCCCAATTTCATCTGAATTGTTTTCTGTGTTGTCCACGTTTTCCTCTTTCTTTCAATCCATTGAGACTATCTACATATAACTCTAGAATTCTCAGGTAGTTCCATTATCTTTTCTTCCTCAGAACCATTTACTGCCTCTGCATCTTTAACATTTGTTTGAGCCACTGGCTCGTTTCTTCATGTGAACTGAAATTGTCTATTGTCTCTGAGATATTATGGTGGTGTTGTGTATGTATTTAATTGATGATTGTATGTTGGTGTATTCTTAGGTCCCCTGCAACTGCCTCCTGGTTGGTGTAATTAGAGAACAGAAGTTTATGCTCAATTCTGTTTACTGTTTGTGCCACAAAGTTTAGGGTGGGTTTGGCTGGTATTGGCTGCTGATCAGTTGGTATGTTGTTGTTGTTAAGTACTGTGGGGTCGATTCCAACTCATAGTGACCCTGCACAGGGTTTCCAGGGCTGTAAATCTTTACGGGAGCAGAAAGCCTCATCTTTCTCCTGCAGAATGGCAGGTAGTCTCAAACTGCTGAACTTGAGGTTAGCAGCCCGATTCATAACCAGTATGCTACCAGAGCTGTTGTTGTTGTTGTTAAGTGCCATCAAGTCGGTTCCGACCCATAGCGACCCTGTACAGGGTTTCCGAGGGTGTAAATCTTTACGGGAGTAGAAATCCTCATCTTTCTCCCGCGGAGCGGCTGGTAGTTTCGAACCGCTGACCTTGAGGTTAGCAGCTCGATTCATAACCAGTATGCTACCAGAGCTAGAAGCTGGTATTTGCTCTTGCCCACTGGGTGGCATTGAAGAGGGTAAAGTTGTGTCTGGGCTATGTGGCCATGAATTCGACCTCTTTTTGGGTGTGGCAAAAAGAGAAAACACCCATGCAAGAAAATAAAACAGAGCAAATAGTAAAAAAACAAAAATAATAAAGTAGAAAAAATTTTTTTAAACAAACAACAATAAGAAAAAACAATACAATATCTAAGAAGAAAAAAGAGGAACAGAAAAATAGTTATGGTGGCGGTGGTGATGTGCCATGGAGTTGGTGCTGACTGACAGAGACCCTGTACAGGGTTTCCGAGGCTGTAAACTTTTACGGGAGCAGAAAGCCTCATCTTTCTCCAGCGGAGCAGCTGGTAGTTTTGAACTGCTGACCCTGCAGTTCGTAACCCAATTCGTAACCACTATGCTAAAAATAGTTATAGAAAAGAAAAATTAGTGGAAAAAAACCCCCACAACAAAAAAAAAAAAGAGGGAAGATGGAACGAGATACTCGAAGGTAGTAAAGAAAGCTCAAGAAGAGAGAAAAAACCCCAGAATGATGAAGAAGTAGGAAAAGAGGAATAGAAAAAAGGAAGAAAAAATGAAATCAGAGACAGAAAAGATAAAATGAAAGGGGAATGAGGGTAAGAAAAATAAAAAATAAACAACAAAAGGAGAAAATAAAAGCAGTGCAGGTGGTAGACCCAGAGAGACCAAAACCCTGGGGTGGGGAGGGGAGGCTCCTGTTCAAGGAGTTTATGAGGTGTTTGGGGGAAATATGAGATGATAGTGTTCCCAGTTCTAAATGAGTTCCCATAGACCCAGCTGTTGTCTGGCTGGACCAAAGAAAGTTCCCACAGACCCAGCTGTTGTCTGTCTGGACCAAAGTCAGTTTGAATTGCAAGGTCGGTGGTTTACAGTTAGCAGCTGCCCCTCAGAAACCTTCCACAGGGTCTATGAGTCGGAACTGACTTGATGGCACGTCACAGCGGTGGGCTCCCTACGAGTCAGAGTGGACTCAACGACACCTAACAACAGTCCAAAGTGGAAGTTAGTAACCTCTTGTGTCTTCTAGCTACAGCCACACTATCCACTGTTTACAACCTAGTCTTCCAAGTTAGCTCCTTTTGGGGTCCACAGCTCTGCTAAAACTTTCAGGAAGATCAGCACTCTGGAGAGTCCCGTCTTCAAAGCTCGTTCAGTAATAAGGATGACATCTGGCAACTTACAGGGACGGAGCACACACTCCTCCCAAAGCTGGACGCCCTGAGCATCTCTCCCAGACCACTGTCCCCAGCTGGTCTTCACCAACTGCCTGCTCATTGCTTGTCTGCTGTCAAATAATGGCAGTCCTATCGTCCACTGTTGCTGTGTAAAATGACATCTCAAATATCTTTCTTTAAAAATCTGCATATACGAGGTAAGAGATGAGCGGTCAGGGTTGTTGTTGTTGTTAGGTGCCATAGAGTCGGTTCCAATCCATAGCGACCCTGTAGAGTTTCCGAGGAGCTGCTGGTGAGCTTGAACCGCCGACCACTGCGCCACACCCGTTGGTGACTCCTAAATCTAGGCACAGAGAAAGGACTGACTTTGAAACGGGGATTGGGAAATGGGGCGCAGGAGTTACTCCACACAGACTGCTGTGTATCCTGGGTGGATTCGGATCCTAGACCTCATAGGACGGAGTGGGAGTGTTCCACAGGCTTCCCAAAGCCGTCATCTTTATGATAAGTTTGCCAGGTCTTTCTTCCGCGGAGCCACTGGTGGGCCTTTGCTTAGCAACCCTAGAGCTTGGTCAGGACTCCTGAGAAGGGGGTTAAAGGTGGGAGGTAAGCAAGTGTCCACCAGAGGACTGGGGTGTGTGGGCTAAGCCCAGGGTGAGAAGCGTCTCTGGGATACGGATGCTAAGATGGAGTGGGCACCTGAGGGCACGGGCGAGGCGGGGACTTGAAGGAATGACCATCTGGCCCACCGTGTCCTGGCCCTCTGCTGCCCACTGAGAGGGCCCTGGTGGCGCCGCAGCGGAAGCGCTGGGGGCCCGTCTGCTCCCTCAGGGTCAGGACTCCAGGCAGTGGGGGGCTTTCTGCTGCCCGTGGTGCACCTTCACCCTGCTGAGTGCGGGGAGCTCGGCCGGGCCTGTTTCCCCACCCGGGACGGCAAGGCGCGCCACTTCCCCACAGGAACTCAGCTTCCGTCACCACAGGTGCGCATCCACTGGGCCTCAGGTTCCACGCCCAGGCCTCTGCGGCGCATTGAGCCCCAGCAGCCTTCGGCCCGCCCCGGAGCTCGCGCCGACGAACCCCGCGGGGCGCTCACGTGGCCCCGCGCCCCGCCTCCTGTTTACCTCAGGCCGGCGCGGGCGCGCGGGCGGGGCCGGGACG